ATATAAGACCTCAAACAGTGAAACTACAAGAAAAGATTGGTGAAAATCTGCAGGACATTGATCTGGGCAAAGATTTCTTGAGTAATATCCTACAAGCACAGGCAACTGCAGCAAACATGGACAAACAGGAACACATCACGTTAAAAAGCTTCTTCCCAGCAAAGGAAATAATCAACAAAGTAAAGAGAACCCACAGAATAGGAGAAAAGATTTGCAAACTACACATCTGATAAGGTATTGGTAACTAGAATATATAAGGAGCTCAAACAACTCCACATAAAAAAAAAATTCTAATACTCTGATTTTAAAAATGAGCAAAAGACTTGAATAGACATTTCTCAAAAGGAGCCATATAGATGGCAAATGGATATATGAAAAGGTGCTCAGCATCATTGATCTTCAGAGAGCTGCAAATCAATGCTACAATGAGATACCCCAGTTAAAATGACTTTTATCCAAAAGTCAGGTAATAAAAAATACTGGCGAGGATGTGGAGAAAAGGAACATTCCTCATACGCTGTTGGTGGTAATGTAAATTAATACAGCCACTATAGAGGACAAGTTTAGAGGTTCTGCAAAAAGCTAAAAATAGAGCTATCATAAGATCTAGCAATCTGATGCTAAGGTATATACCTCAAAGAAAGGAAATCAGTGTACAGAAGAGATAACCTGCACTTCCAAGTTTACTGCAGCACTACTCATAATACCCAAGATTTTGAAGCAACCTAAGCGTCCATCAACTCTTAGGTTATCAACAGATGAATGTACAAAGAAAATGTGCTACATAAAATGGAATATTATTAAGCGATTAAAAAAGTGTGATCCTGTCACTTGTAACAACATGAATGAAACTGGAGGTCATTATGTTAAGTGAAATATGCCAGGCACACAAAGACAAACTTTGCATGTTCTCACTTATTTGTGGTAGCTAAAAATTAAAACAATTGAATTCATGGAGGTAGAGAGTAGAAGGATGATTGCCAGAGAATGGGAAGGGGATAGTGGAAGGGTGGAGTGGGGGGAGTGGCGATGATTAATGGATACAAAAAATAGAAGGAATGAACAAGGCCTAGTATTTGCTAACACAACAGGATGACTATAATAAAAAAAACGATTTAATTGTACACTGTAAAATAACTGAAAGAATATAATTAGATTGTTCATAACACGAAGAATAAATGCTTAATGTGATGGATACCCTAATGTGATTATTACATATTGCATGTCTATAACCAATAAATATATACACCTTTATAACCTCAAAAATGAAAAATTAAGAAAAAATCTTATTACTCCATATTGGTGAAATGTAAGGAGAATGTAGTAGTGGAGACATTTTCTTTCTTCTTTTTTTTGAGACAGGGTCTCTCTGTTGCCCAGGCTGGAGTGCAGTGGTACAAGCATAGCTCACTGCAGCCGTGAACTCTTGGACTCAAGCAATCCTTCTGCTTCAACCTTCCAAGTAGCTAGAACTACAGGCATGTACCATCATGCCTCGCTAATTTTTGAATATTTTCTAGAGATCAGGTCTACTATGTTGCCCAGGCTGGTCTCAAATAGTTTGGGCATTTTCTAAAGTGAAAATGTACTTATAGCAGTCTGAAAAAGCTTATCTTAATTCACTGAAAAGGAACAGTTAGGAAATTAAATGGAGCTTTGTTGTATTAAAGGAAGTCTTGATCTTGATCACATGAACTGAAGCATCTGTTTCCTTCAATATTTGACTTTTAAAATCTGGATTATTCAGACTATAAGCATGAGAGTTGCTTTTTTAAAACTCCTCTCATGCTCTCTGACTTGCAGTAATCTCGAGCTTTGTTTCAGAGGTGACAGTGCTATTTTGGAGAAAATTTTATTTTCTGGAAAAATGAATTGATTTTTCTAGTTACATATATTTTGTTGTAAATATATTTCTAGTGCTAGTAGATGGCAGGAGTTTCTGTTGATATAAATAGTGAACTCAAAAATACATGCTTGTAAATAAATGTTTTCCATCATATCATGTAGTATTATTTTTCTAACATGTCTCAAAATCATATTTGTGGTTGCGCATTCAGAGGACTCCGGGGCAGAGCTGAGGACCAGTCGGCTACCCCACAGCTGTTGTAAGTTTGCTGTGAGAAAGCTGGAGGCAGCCCTGGGGACTCCTGTGGACAGAATCTCAAAAGGGTAGCACTAGACCAACCTGAAACTAATTTTTGAAGATAAGTTACATATTAAATCTCAAATTAAAAGGTTAAAGAAACTTTTTGAAAAAATTATACCTTCTTATACATTTTATAGAAAGATCATTTGAAAAATACAAAAGAGATACAATATATATTCTGAAACAGAGTTTCTGGAAACAGTTTCTGGAAAAGAAGAATGTTTTGAAGTTAGATTTTATTGGTACATTTAGTCCTTTCAGTGAGAGATTTTATTGGAAATGTGTCTTGATTTCTACACCTTTGGAGACAATCAACACAGCTGACGTAGTCCCACTAGAGGGCAGGTTAAGAATACCCACCAATGAGCTCCTGATAGTAGAAAGAGGTGAGAAGTAAAGGCATACAGAAAAAAAAAAAAAACTACCTCCCTTGGGGACAATGTGGTGATCTCAGTCATGAAGATCAAGAAATGAAGGAAAGTCTAGCCTTTAGCTAGACTTAGCTGGAGAACTAGCTAAAGAAGTTATGTTTAATTCCAGAGTCCTGGGCCCCAGCTAAAAAAATATTTCGAATTCAGTTTATCTTGGAGGATCTCAGATCTGCATATTTTAACAAGTATCTCAAGTCAATTAGACTGATTATCTGAACATACTTTGAGAAACATTGATTTGGCCCTTTCTGTATCAGCATCAATATCTAAGTGGTCTTTTCTGAGCAGCTCAGGCAGAACACAGCAAAAGAGCTTCAACACACTATATTCTTGTCCAAGAACTTAATATAATTCATATTACTTAAGTAATTAATGTTATTCATTACATCAGAGAACAGAATTGGGACTCTTATTAAGTCTCCTAGAAAATTAGAAAGCAATGTATGTACTTCAATATATATATATATGTATTATATATTTTTAAAAGCCCATATGGTTGTCTCATTATCATTGCAACAAATCAAAATTCCAGATTTACATACAGTCAGCCCTTCATATCCATAGGTTCCCCATCCTCCTGTCTTTTTCTCCCACTCTGTCACCAAACTATTTCTTCTCCTGAGTTCTCTAACTAAATTCTTTTCCTATCGAAGTCATTTTGGCTTTGAAAAAAAAAAGATCAACCTGAAAAAGAGATTATAGGGTGTGAGCCAAACTATGAAAGTCCCTGGTAGAACACTCTTGCACATTTTTCACTCTCTAACATTATTGTCGAGTAGACTCAGAATGCAGAAGGATGAGCTCTGCCAGGAACGTGGGGTTGCTTGTTTCCCTGAAGACTAGTTATGACTGTATTTTTTGAAACATACAATCATAGCGGTGCCTTAACCTTTAATATTGATGACATAATGGTTTGTTATGTTTTAATTAAGCTCTAAGAATATTTCTGGCAATTTAGTATTACCTCTCTTGTGGCCTACACCCAGAAGTTACCCTTTCAAGGACGACCTACAATATGATTCTGCTAATGCTCGTGTTTTACATGCCAGTCTCTTACTCAGATCATGGTGTTTTTTTTTTTTTTCTCCTAAAAATACTTTATAGCAAAGAATCACATATCAAAAAAAAAGTCATTTATTAAACTAAGGGAATAAATAAGAAGACCAAAAGGAATTGCCAAGAAAGGCTTTTACTAATGCTTTACATGAGGGATCTTTGCAGAAGCCTATGAATGAGAAAATGGCCAGATTTAGGGAACTAATAGCCTTTTGAGAGCAAAGTTGTATCAAGCTCATTTGCTTTTTGTTTTGCTATTTTCTTCCGCATATTATTCACTTCGAATTTTGTATTTTTTTTCTTAGAGTGCTAACTTTCATGTTGCTTTTCTAAATTATGCACTACTTCTGCTGTCACATTCTAATTAGCCCTTTCTAGTTATACATAAAACAGTGTAAAATCTCAAGATACAACTTTTCTTGCTTCTAGGGTAGGTGACCCACAAATGGGAAGTTCAGATAGATGCAGTTTAACAGAGTCCGCAAGAATACTGACATACCCATGAGAAATCTGCTTTCCAGGTCTGACAGATGACACTTTCGCAATGATCAGCCTTATGGGCTGATCTGCATTACTAACATTTCCTTGGTAATCTGATGTCACTTGCAAGCAGCTCAATATTATAGGGTTTTTATCCTACATCATTAGACCTACTTCATAAATTTTGCCCAAGAGGCAGACTTGGCTTTTACGTATGTCTGTTGATTTAATGAAAAACAGATTTCCCTTTTTTTCTTCCTATGTGATTTGTAATATGGCATATTAATAGATATTGAATAGAAAATTCTTATATTTTGAAACATTTGAATGTGCTATATAAGCTCTATTCATGTCAATTAGGACAATGATTTTTATTTACTTTTTCAATTACTATGACATCATTTTTATCGGTAGGACTATTTTTGCATGGAGTACAACAGGGCAGCCAATTTAAAAAGCTTCTTACAATAGAAACTTTGTCATTGTTCTCCACCTAGTACCTATTATAGTTTATCGTAAAGTAAATTGAATTAACTGGACAAGGAGCTTGGTGACCCAAATTTTATTTCAGCTATCAGGTCACCTTCTTTGCAGCAAAAGTGCATCTTCTAGAAGTCTTTTGACCTTTGTCACAGTCACACAGCTCTCAACTTTTTCTGGTTTGACTCAGAGTGCAGCACAGAATTACAAAGGAAAGAGACACCTGGCCCCTGGGGCACAACCAATTCATTTCCAGATAATTCATACCTGGTGCAGCACAGAATTACAAAGGAAAGAGACACCTGGCCCCTGGGGCACAACCAATTCATTTCCAGATAATTCATACCTGAAAAACCCTGACTTGCCTGCACCAGCCACAGACCCCATTGTTGACTGCAGTGTTGCAGATAAATTATCTGGAGTCAAAGTCCATTCCAGTTTTCCCAGAGATAGTTTTGGAGACATTTTACTCTTTATATCAATTAAGAGCAATAGTACAAATTCAGTCGGGAAAAGCTATTTTTAAAAATACTAAACTGAAAAATGTCTCTGCCAATATTAATTGTATTTTGGTTCCACCTGTATATGCTGATATCCAATCTCAACATGAGACTGATTTTTCTTCTCATACTTCCCCTCTGTTTGCTCCTTACAGCAAAGTTACATTAAAAAATGAATATTAAATAAACTAAAAAGGAACTGAAAAGGGGAAACTTCACAACTTACAACTTACTGCTTTCCTATAAAACATCTTTCATTTCCTCGCAATGTGGTTGAGGTTCGTTAGAGAAAGACAAGAAGGCAAAAGCTGAAGGCGTCTTCTCGAACAATGACAGAAGCTTTTCTGCCTGCATTCAACTTGAATAGGCCTTAATGTTTTTTGTCTGCTTGAGACCACAACTCAAATATTCTGTAGAGTTCAGATGGGACCAAAAACTGATTTAAGACATGAAAACTAGACCTGTTGACAAAAGCTAAGGGAAGTGAGGTTATTTTACCTGGAGGAGAAAGACAAGGGAGACATACAATTCAAGCATGGAAAGGATGTTGCATAAAATGTTGACACCAGCTATTCCATTGGAACCTGGGATTTGCATTTAATTCCATTTGAGCTAAAATTCAGTTGTTTTAATTCATAAGAGAAATTTGACATTTATATTAAATCTTCTTCACTAGACCAAAACAAAGGGAAATGAAAATTAAACATTCTTCGGTTATAAATAAGAACTAAGATTGTCTCTGCTTAATAATGCCTGAAAGCAAAGACGCATTGTAGATGAGAATGGGTAAGACTATGTGCTTAGTACTTACCATATGTCAGACTCTTTGAAGCAGAAGCAGGCCTCTAGAAAAGTATGAGGACTTTTGTGTAGTCTGACTGATTTTTACGTGTGGCAGAGAAGTACAAAGCAAAAGAAACCTTCTCCCAGATAACCCCCGGCAATATAACCAATTCACTTACGGATAATTCTTACCTAGAAAAATGATTTGGTGGCACCAAACACTCCAATGGTAGTATCAGTGTTGTACACAAATGATCAGGAGTCAAGGTTCAGGCTAACACAGCTTCACCTGTGTGATGATCACAACAGTACAAGTGATGAAACTGAAGCAAAAAGAAGTAGCTTGGCCAGAGTCACACAGCCAGTAAGTGACAAGGCTAGATGAGAATCTGTCTATTCATGCCAAAGCTTATATTCTTTCCTTATTTCACAATATTTACCTAGGTGAAGTTTAAAAGTCCTTTGCAAACTCTGGATTCTACTAATACATCACTAATGATAGATAAGAATATTTTAGTTTTGTTTTATGTGCTAAGAGGAATTCAAAGATTAATAATAGAACAGTGAGATAACTTTCTCACTCCTCCATCCCACTTTTTTTTTTTTTTTTTTTGACATACAGTTTCACTCTTGTTGCCCAGGCTGGAGTGCAGTGGCGTGATTTCAGCTCACTGCAACCTCCACCTCCCAGGTTCAAGTGATTCTCCTACCTCAACCTCCCGAGTAGCTGGGATTACAGGCATGCGCCAACAAGCCCAACTAATTTTTGTAGTTTTAGTAGAGACGGGGTTTTGCCCTGTGGGCCAGGCTGGTCTCAAACTCCTGACCTCAGGTGATCTGCCTGCCTCAGCTTCCCACGGTGTTCAGATTACAGGCGTGAACCACCGTGCCCAGCCCTCACTTCCCCTTTTTAAATTTCTAAAACCCTATATCTCCTTAAGGCTAAATATAAAATAACAATTAAAATTTCAGAGAGCGTTCCTAATTCAAGGTTTTATATATCTAGTTGTTTTTATCAGAAGTTCTTAAAGTGTATTTTATAGAGCATTAAAGAGTATATATGAGAATAAAATATTTTCTTTGCAAAAATCAATATTTTTTGAGGCCTAAGAGACCCCAGTGAAGAAAATATCCTCCAAATTATTAACTACACCAAGGAGAATGAGAGCTGAAACATATTGTATACCGTTTCTATGATTTTTTTTTTTTTTTTTTTTTTTTTTGCTGGACACGGCCTGGTTTAATGAACCTTTGACTTTTCACAGAGAATCCACAAAATGTATTTGTGTTCCTCTCAGCTTATAGTTACATATATCATTTCAGCCCAAAGAGATATTTTTTCTTGCAAATTTAAGATGATTAAAATGGTTTTTAATGGTAGCAATGTTGCAGTTTTAATTACAGTGTTTATTATCATGAAGAATTTAATATAAATATATGACAATTAGCAGTATTCTATTGGGGAAAGCTGAAAATAATTTGTCCTAATCTGGAGATTTGTTGAGATCCGTAATATGCATACACTAATTCCTTTGCCCTAATAACACCACTGTGTAAAATATCTCTAGGGATTTAAAAAGGTTAAAGTGATATTCACAGCAGGAGTGACAGAGCATATAAGGGAAACCTAAATTTCGCAGGCTTTTAACAGGATTTTCCCCCATTAAATCACACTAGCATAATATTAGATATGTAAAATCACTTCATTACATTTATTTTTTAACTAGAGTTTGTTTTTAAAGATCCAGGAAAAATCCTCCAAATTCCTTTTCTCATACCCTACTCTACTTAAGATCCTATAAGAATTACCAACACCATATTGGTGATTTCCATTTTTGATAGATAATCAGGATATCTAAAAACATGAATCCTGTAAAACAATGAGCAAGATTTTATTATCAAATAGTCCATCTTGCATTAATAAACAGATTACTTTTTGTAAGTAACTTGGCCCTTTTAAGTATATAAAGAAGCAAACAATAATGATTTTTAAAAATATTTCCAGTTTCCAAGCCTTTATTCTGCTTCTTAAGTTTTAACCTGTCAAAAATGAAACACATGCCTATGGAAAAGGTAATTACTTTTCTCCTTCTTTAACTTCTTCTTAATTAACTTTTAATCTATGCTGTTACAGAGGGAGCATTTCTTAATACTAAATGCGTCTAAAATGCAGGAGACAGAGATTTAAATCATTTAGATAAACATCTGCCTAGCACAGAGGCATAAAAATTACAAAATTAAGATATGGGTGGCTGAGTGCCAACAGTAGCTGTCAGCAAAAGCTAGATATTACCTTCATTTAAAAAAGAATATTTTACTTACAAACAAACCAACTTAATAGATGCCTTATAACCATACACTCTTATATTGGAACACATTTCTTGTTTTATACTACATAAAATTCTAAAAACATGTGAATGAGAAATTGAATGGAAATAACCATGCAATCATTTATGAAAGGCATGTTTTAAAAGAGAAAAAAATCAATAAATTGGAAAATTTCACCATGAAGTGAACCACTATTGCTTTGTTTAGTTAGAGTGAATTCTGTCAACAGTAATTTAATGTAATCAGTTCAATGATATGATCCCTGGTTGGTGTTCAGATAATTACTATACTTATGTGTAGTAATTTTCAGCTATTAAATGGAATATAGAGTGGCAAGTAAAGACAGGAAGCTTTGACCCTTAATACCCCCTTTACTATATGTGTGTAATTTGTCTTCTAATAACTAAAATAACATGACAGTAAAGTCTTTACACACAAAATAGAAATAATCCTGCATCCTTTATGCAAGCCTGGTTAATCAAAATGTCTTGCATTTTTTTTTGTACAAGATATAATAGAAATACACATACACACACACAGACACACACACACACAGAGAGAGAGAGAGAGAGAGAAAGAGAGAGAGAGAGAGAGAGAGGGCAGTCACTTATAGGCATACCTTGAAGATATTGCAGTTTCTGTTCCAGACTACCACAATAAAGCAAGTCACACAGTTTTTTTTGTTTCTCTGTACATATAAAAGTTATGATACTGTAACATATTAAGTGTGCAATGGAATTATTTTTAAAAGAACAATGAGCATACCATAATTAAAAATACTTATTACTAAAAAATGCTCACAATCAGCTGAGCCTTCAGCAAGTTGTGATTTTTTCTCTTGACTGATTGCTGACTGATCAGGTTGGTGATTGTGGAAGGCTGGGGTGGCTGCAGCAATTTTAAAAAATGATACAATAAAGTTTGCCATATACACTGACTCTTTATTTCATGAAAGATTTCTCTGTAGCAAGTGATGCTGTTTGACAGCATTTTACCCACAGTAGAAATTATTTAAAAACTGGAGTTCATCCTCTCAAACCCTGCTACTGCTTTATAATAAGTGTATGGAATGTTCTAAATCCTTTTTTGTCATTTCAGCAATGTTCATAGCATCTTCTCCAGGAGTAGATTGCATCTCCAGAAACCACTTTCTTTGCTCATCCATAAGAAGCAACTCCTCATCCATTAAAGTTTTATCATGAGTTTATAGCAATTTAGTAACATCCTCAGGCTTCACTTCTGGTTCTCTTTCTATTTTCACCATATTTGCAGTTACCTTCTCCACTGGAGTTTTGAACCTCTCAAAGACATCCATGAAAGTTGGAATAAACTCCTTCCAAACTCCTGTTAATCTTTATATTTCAACCCCCTCTCATAAATCATGAATGTTCTTTTCCAGAAGGCTTTCAGTTTACTTTGTTAAGATCATCAGAAGAATTATTAGCTATGGCAGCTATGCCTTATGAAAGTTATTTCTCAATTAATAAGACTTAAAAGTCAAAATTTCTTCTTGATCCATAGGCTGCAGAATGGATGTTGTGTTATCAGGCATCAAAACAACATTAATCTCTAATATCTGTATCAGAGCTCCTGGGTGGCCAGGTTCATTGTCAATGAACAGTAATATTTTGATTCTTTTTTCTCCAAGTAGTAGGTCTTAACAGTGGGCTTAAAATATTTAGTAAACTTTGCTATAAAGAGATGTGCTATAATCTAGGCTTTGTTGTTCCATTTATAAAGCATAGGTGAACTATATTTAGCATAATTTTCCAAGGCTGTAGGATTTTTTGAATGGTAAATGAACATTG